ACTGAATTGTAGATTAAGTAATACTTTATATAAGCACTGCATTTTTTTCTGCTATTTTTCTACTTTTAAGTAAAACTTTTAAATATTTCTTAAGTTGTCATACACATACTGACACTATGATGGATTTGTAATAATAAATAAACAACTTCAGCTTTTTTATTTGCCAAATGGTAGTATTTGTATAGAGCACTTGAGCAATGATTCACAATAGATACTAAGCTTTTGAATGCTTTTAGTAATGCCAGAATAAGAAACTAAATAATGCATTGCCATTGAACTCCTTGTGGGACAAAAATGATAAAAAATTATAATTTCCTTAAAAAAAAAATAAAAGGTTCCGAGAATGTATCAACATTGTATTCCCACTTTCTCAAACTCATCTTATATTCCCAACATACATTATATAGAAAAAGCAGCTAAAATCTGACAGTTTTCGTATTGTCTCAATGCTAGAGCATATCTGATGAATTGTATGAAAAGATGCATGCTACACACTTCAAATTTAATGTGCTAAAGGCGGTTTTTGGCAGGTACACTACTAGCATTTTTGTCAGTTTGCAAAACAATTATACTACACTTCAGATATGCTGAACTGCATTATCATCAGAAACTCATGATGTCCATAAAAAAAAAAAAAAAAATTGATTTTAACAATGTAACAAGTTTAAGTGGGAAAAATACTCTGTCTTTTTAAATTATCTCCTATACTAGTAGTAGGCAACCTTCGACACTCCAAATGTTGTGGACTACATCTCCCATGATGCTCTTACACCCATGATGCTGGCAAAACAGCAGAGGACATGTACTACTTAACATCCGGAGTGCAAAGGTTACCCATCCTTGGGTCCTATACACTAGTAAAACAATCAAATAAAGTACATAGAGGTGTGATTTGACACTTCGCTCTTTGAAAATACATCATAGTTTATTCAATGATTGAACATGGACTACATTTAGTCGCGTAAGTAATTTCCCTTTACAGTAACCGTAATGCTTTTCAAGTATTGCTGAATTCTCCAAGATCAGAAAGTGAGTTGGAAGCAGTAGCCCATGAATCGTGATTACATTTTGATATATTCTCTGAAGGCCTTTAGTTCTAGAATTGAAAACAAACATAATGCCAATAAATTAGGTTATTACAAAAAGATAATTGTATGCAAAATTGAGGATTCTGCACATTATATCAAGTCATTAGAAAAGTGGATTCTGCACATTAGATCAAGTCAGTCTTCATTGTCACAGGGACAGAATGTGATGGTTTCCCTAATATTACAGATATAAATGTTTTAATCATTCATTCGTGATTTAACATAAATTCAATTCTTTTGTTTGTTTTCTAAAAAAAAAAAAAATGTTTGACGCCTAAGGGAAAGAATTCAATTGCAAGTATTAACCTATCTCAGTATTGCACCTGGGCATATTTCTAATATTAAAATGTTGGGGATTTTATATATATATATATTTTTGCCTACAGTACTTATGGCACACAAGGAAATAATATTTTATATATAATATGAAAGTATATGACTCGGAATTGAGCTTTTAGCTTTTACTAGTTTTCAAGTACATCTCCTCATTGATCAAGACAATGGATGTTTTTACGTTTGATGTCAGTGTTTAATCCTAGTATATATTGCTGGTGCACAGTTTTGTAGATCTTGCCGATTGCAGGTGCACTGCTTAGTAGATCGTGCCGATTGCAGGTGCACTGCTTAGTAGATCGTGCCGATTGCAGGTGCACAGCTGGGGCTTTTTTTGGCTCCTGTGAGCAGTTAACTATCTGAAGCAGTTACTGTGACTGTTTTCATTGGTATGATTTACTTTATATAATAAAATCTGGATTTGTTTCACTAGGTCACAACTGCAGCAATCCTAAATTTCTGCAAGATTCTACTCTGAAAAAAAGCACTACTCCTGGTCTATTTTAAAATTATTTCAGGCTCAGTGCACTGGAGTTGGTTTAGGAATTCCTTTAGAACTGAGTGTATTGTCCTATAGTATAATCTGTCTAACTGAGAGAATATGATATCTGTTACATTCAGTTTTCTGCTTTTTGATCCTTTGTGGACCTAATGTTTGGAAATCTCTTTAATGTATGTCAAGGAGGCATGTTCTTGGTTCTTAAGGGGTTAAGGATCAGAATTTTCCAGGGATTCCTCTGTTGTAAGTAGGAACATTTTACTTTTTTGTCTGCAATAAAATAAAAGCTTACTCTATGGGGCTCATATTCTACATGCAATGTTTTATTTGCCAGTGGAAGATCTCTACATTCCCCACACCACTCTGCCAGGTTTAATCATTCATGCAATACTTCACTTGATTTTAAAACAATAAGGGAAATCACTGATCATGAAGTACCACTACTTCTGGCATGTTCAGATGTTCAAGGGAATTCTTCTGGGTGTCCTTTTTATCTGGACCTTCCAGCCAATATGTAGCAGTAATCTGTGGAGTCGTCTTGCATAATATAATATTGTAGTTTGTTTGTGACAAGCATTTGGCTAATATTTTCTGGTCTCTGTACCTAGACCTGTGTGAGTGATGTTCATTCCGGACAATCCATTGACATAATATTGTTAATTTTATGTTTGGATTGGTGTTAATATTTTTTTTAGATAGCGATGAAGGAATTACGGTAGAGCCTATGGTGATTTTAAGATCATGTGCTGCTTGATTTATCTGAAGTTAAGGTCAGAGTAAATATGTGGTTGTTTTGTTCTCATAAGCACAATTGAATATCTTTAGCAATTCTGCTTATTTATGTGTCTGTTACCACACTGTATCCTGTGCTGCCGGTTACCACCTTTTGTAGGGACCAATAGTCTTTTATCATTTTGATTCTAATGTTTGGCAAAATGTGCACTATTTACTGTATTTGTATCTTTGAATGTATGTCCTGATGTTGTTGGCCTAAATTTCCTACTTTTCATTAGTAGTTACCACAATTTCTATGGTTCATGCTGATATTCTTTCAGTACTATCTTATAGATGTGCTCCTTCTTGCCTTTACCAAGTGATATATCTACTATTTGTGTTATTTCTACCTCTCCTGTAATTTATAATTATTGTATCAAACAGTCCATTTATAGTGTGAGATGCAGTTGAGTTTGATATTTGCAATATGTAGTACTTCTTGCAGAGTTTTCATAAACTATTTTATGTCTCTAATAGGCTCTGCCTTTTCACACAGAAAGATTTTGCTGGGGGCGTGGTTTGGAGGGCGAGTAAGATGGCCGCGTAGAGATTGAGCTCCCCGCCGGCTCCACACTGTTCCTTACCGTGCCGCGTGTCTGGGCAAAATACACAGGGCAGCCCACGCCCTGAAGAATGCAGATGCCCCTAGGGGATCCCCGGCATCGTCCCTGTGGCAGTGTCTGGTCACCCCGGTGGACCTATCCTCTCAGGCCTCGAATGACTCCATGACCACGAGCAGCCTGCACTCACCACTCATCAGCACTCCAGCAGATGCCAAGCTGGACTGGATGGCCCTGCTCAGAAACTTGCCAACAAAAACAGACAGCAGGGAGGCAAACGCAGACTTGAGAAAGTCCATCATGGCAGAACTACATGCCATGCATGAGGACATGGCATGAGGCCTCAACCACAGGGTCTCCCAACTTGAGTCGGACTGTGACCATGTGTCGGTGGCGCAGTCAGTGAATACAGACGCACTCCGAACCCATTCTGACCAACTTAGGGAGATGGCATACCACATAACATCAGAATCAGGCTGTCCCCGAAATAATGGACGGCTCCGCAACGATAAAAACGACCCTTACTGAACTGTTCAATAAGCTAGAGACCTGCGTGTCTCATATGACAGTATTTACTATTCTTAATTTACACGCTAGAAAGAGTCCCACCCCTGTTTGATGCCATACATTATAACATGCAAAAGAAACAAAATAAAAATATATATTTCCAATAAAAGATAAAAAAAAAAAAAAAAGATATTGCTTTGTATTTCCTGTAACTCCAAGCAAGATGAAGTTGTAAGAATTGTGATTTTAATAAATACATACTTCCAGAGAACGGTGGGATTTTCAGTTTAACCCCTTAAGCAGGGCCGCCATCAGGAGGTGACTACCACGACAGAACTGCCATCGGTACACCTACACCTGGGTCCGCACGCTAATGGGCCAGCCCTATGTCTTCAGGGGCCCGGTCAGCTCTACGGCCGTGCAATAACTGAAGTTTATTTCAAAACTTTTTATATTGAATAAAGGATTTTTGGTTTTATTACAAACTACTACCTCCTTATTTCAATAATTTACTCAATCTGAGTTTTTTTTTAATCTCTCCCTGGCATTTTTTTCCATTTTATTTATTTTTAACCTGAAGATCGGTTATCTACTTTACATCCTAGGTGGGGATCATACCACTAACGCTGTCATCACTGAGCAGTAAGTCTGCTCCAGACTTGTAAGTAATATTCTGTTCACTTTTATTTACCTGTATTATATTACGGAGAGCACTCTCTGTGGCTATCTCTTCTGCTTCGAGTACCTAGATTACCATCTACTGTGAAAGACTACGACCATCATATCCCATAAGTGGGGATTATACCACTGTATGCGATATCCACTAGAGCTGGTCATAGCTCTTGTTCACGTGAGTGCAATATTTTTATCTCTTAAGTGTTGTCCGTCTAGCCCAGACATATTGCACTATCAGGTCGCTCTGTCTTTTCTTTTTCCACATACGGAGACTGAGAAGACACAGACCCTTCACATCCCTCAAGCATAAAGAACCAAGATACCAAAGTTGGACTTACCTATTTATCTATTTATTTATTTTACCTAGAGACAATTTTTATTCTGTATATCGTATTTTATTGGGAATATATTTCATTATATTTTAGTACCTCTGTGGCGCAGGCCTTCCCCATTTGTTTTCTAATAACGCAACCGAGCCACTTTAAAAAATTGCTGTGAGTCACTTCCTCCCAGCTCTCTCCGCGCGGGAGGGAATCAAGACAGGCCACGAGGACGGAAGAGCCACGCCGACTCCCATCAGCCCCAACCACCCTCCTGCAAAAAAAGTGTGTGTATGTCAGTATGTATGTATCTGTGTGTGTATATATACACTGACATACACACACTTTTTTTGCAGGAGTGTGGTTGGGGCTGATGGGAGTCGGCGTGGCTCTTCCGTCCTCGTGGCCTGTCTTGATTCCCTCCCGCGCGGAGAGAGCTGGGTAGAAGTGACTCACAGCAATTTTTTAAAGTGGCTCGGTATCTGTGGATATCTGTATGTTTGTGTATGTATGTCAGTGTGTATGTGTCTTTCAGTATGTGTCTGGAAGTTATGCCCTTAACAAGGTTCTGGTTTGAAAGTGCAATCTATTGATTAGTTCATTTATATTAGAGAAGGCCAATAACTTCTGTTGTTTGCCAAATTATGTTTATAATTTTTAGACTTTCTGTTTTAAGGAAGTTCTCCTCTAATCTATTTTATTAATTTCCATAGCAAGACAGATGCAAGACGGGTTTCTCATTCTTTACAAAAGTTTGTTTTGTATTAGTCTAGCCTTGTTCCTTTTATAGGTTTGGTTATCATGACCGTATTTCCTACCTGGCTCTATCATTCTCTGAATATTCCCTATGTTTGAATACAGGGGGTTGCTGACCAAAGCCTCTTGGGTATAATAACTTGTCTTAGCAGATATTATGGCAATATCCTATTGATTACTTGTTTGGCTTTTGATAAGGCTTGTTGGGTGTGTGTAGCTCAATAATACATTGTATTACTATTAGCTGTATTTGAAGCTTGTCCCTCCCACTATATATACTGCTTGGGTATTCCCATGAGTAAATGCTGCCAAGGAAAAGTGTCTCATACTTACCATAATTTTCTGTTCCTGGTCATTATACATGGCAGCACTACGTTCCCACCCATCTACGATGAGTTGTGAGGCTAGTTCTAATGGCAGCCTGTTGGGGAGGAGGTGGATCTATTTATACCAGTTTCAGAGTTCTATTTCCTGTCCTTTCTGCTGTGAGGGGAGGAGCTAACCCATGAGTAAATGCTGCCATGAATAATGAACAGGAAAAGAAAATTACTATAAGTATGAAACAATGAGAGATTATATATTCTGAGTTAGGACTTGAGGAAGAATCAAATAAAACAATAGCCTAGAACTTACCCATGCATTACGGAGGCCATAATATCTATCCTGGTTTGGGTTTGAGGTGTTCTTTCTTTCAAGTCTATCCAGAAAAGCATTATTTACCCTTCAAAAATGAGAACATACAGTTAGACATGAGGAAAACGAATCCATATAACTTGCTAATTGGCTATGGGAAACAGCACTTTCACAATTTATATTAAAGTGGCACTCTAAGCATCATGTTCACTACAGTTTATTGTTGGTGGTTGATGGTCAGAGTCATTCCTCCACTCTTGGTTTTTGTAACTTTGTTTGTAAGTAGTTTGACAATAAAACAAGGCTCTTCTAAGCCTAACAGTGAGCACTGGTAACAGTTTAATCAAACAGTTTAAGAAAAACCAGAGGCTATGGTGCTCAATGACCTATAGAGTGCCCCTTTAAAGCTCATGTTAAAAAATACCAACTAAATGAGCTGGAAAAAAAAATGTTTAAAGATATGTATTTACATGAATATTTAATATATTATTCACTAAAGCAAAATTGTGGAGAAATGAACAGTGAATGGCAAATTTTAATCTAGCTTCTCAAACTAGAAAGATAGCTATGATATATTTCCAATGTGTATTTTTTTTCTAAAATATGCAATCCCCTTGTCAATTTCTAGTTTAGAATAATTCTGTTGATACTGTATATAAGACAAAGCTATACACTTCCATATGGCTTTTCTCACTTTACGGTATGTGTTCATAAGGCATTGACCTCCAAATATTCTGGAAGGATATTGCCTTTTACCTTTATAGCCATGCGATGTGTCTCTAAGGGCACTAATACAACCGTCTAGTGATGGTCAAATAGATAAATAGTCAGATTTTGGAAAAATTAAGCAATTCTATATTAAAAACTAGCCATTGGTAAAACTAATGATGATGAAAGTGGTAAATTTGTATGTATTTGTCAGTTTTGCTTCACTGTATACTGCTATTACTACAGTAGCCCTTTCCAGTAAGTTGAGAACACCTAAAGGATGAATGTATAAATGTAGGAATGGATTGCTACATTCTATAGGAGATCTTAATATTAAAAAAATAAAATAAAAAGTATAATATTTATTACAAATATTTTATATTTCCATATATGGAGACATGGAGATATAGTTAGTTAAGCATAGAATATATGGAGATAACGAGCATGTGAACCCTGTGTTAGGAAACTTAAAGGGACACTATTGTCACCAGAACAATTATAGCTTAATGTAGTTGTTCTGGTGTCTACTTCCTGTTCCTGCAGGCATTTTAATATAAACAGTGACTTTTCAAAGAACCTCCAGTGGCAGTTACTCAGATGGCCACTATAGGTACTATCTGCATGGAGGTGCTGAACTTTCCCCATAGAGATGCATTGAGTCAATAAATCTGAGAAGATGCTGACTGGTGCAGTGCACTGTTTTGCTACGCATGCACTTTTCTCGGAGAAAGCATAGTATTGGCTGAGCTCATCAATTTTGTTGATCTTAGCCAGGAATACAGAGTGGGGGCAGCGCCGGTGGTGGGAAAAAAGTTTTTTTTTAAACTTTAACGGAGGCAAGGTGGAGGCAATACTTTGTTATTTTGCCTCAGTATTTTTCCTACGCCTGACACTTCTAGACCCTGGTGTAACTACTGACATCTAGAAATGTCAATGTCCAAGCCGTGACCAGTGACGGCTGCAGAGATATTAGTTGTATCTATGGAGGATCCTGCAAGACCTCAATGCTGTACTCTCGTCAGTTCCTGGCACCGAAGCTCCCGGAGCAGAAGAGGAACGACCAAAAGAAAATGCAAAGTCCCCAAATTATGACAGTGCCGCTTTACGTTTGTGTAAACATTATGACATTTTTTACAGAACTAGCTCCATTATATAATACACTACCATTCTCAACAATGGCACATGGAAATATTGCACCATGTAGAATGTTAATCCTTTCGAATTGTGATTTAAATGTTATTCTGCAGAAAGTCCTCCATCATCTAAAAATGCAGTGCTTTGTAAAAAAAAAAAAAAAAGTTGAAGGCTAAATCACTAACAAAAAAAATAATAAAAAAAATAAAATATATTATAATTAAAGTAACAAACAAAAGTGTGTGTGTGTGTGAAGAAACAGAGGGAAAACAATACATTTGAAGGGAGCATTGCGCAGTTACGGTTCACTCTAGCGATGGGGAATACTCTGATCCAACACAATGAGAAAAGTTAACCAGTTAAATTGAATTCATAAACATCATCCTGGATGCACATTGATGTGGTTAACACAATTCATAAACACTCAAACCTTCTATGATGATCTTGTTGAGATGTTCTCCGTTGTTCTTCTTCTTGCCTTTGTTTCAGTTCTAACAATTCACTCTGGAAAGAAATAGAAACTATGTCTGTGATTATAGAAAAATAAAATATATACTCAATACTTTTCAATATTTGTATAAATTAATAGACAAAGGTCAAATTGTAAATATATGCAATTCTCAAATAAAGGATATCAATGTCTTGTCCTGATAATAAACACAGTTGGAATGGATATCGTTAGCATCTTGTAGATGGGATGGCTTACACCTGCCTTGATCAATATAAAATCCAATATTATGAACAACCACCTGCACAAACCTATAATGTGTGTGTGTATATATATATATTATAGGTTTGTGCAGGTGGTTGTTAATATTGGATTTTATATTGATCAAGGCAGGTGTAGGCCATCCCATGTAAAATGTAAAGTATATCCTTTGAAGTCTATGGTTTCACATATCAGAACATAACAATCATCTGTTCCTTAGCAGGTCTTAAAATTAGGTAAATACAACCTCAGATGGACAAAAACACAGTACATATAAAACTGTCATAATTTATTTCACAAAAATAAAGGCAAAATGCAGAAAAACTAAGTGCACCCTTGCCTCTTTCATAGGAATTAAAAGGCTAATTAGCAGAGATGTGTGGCTAATCAAATGCCCTTAATTAATCAATCGATCATCAGCAAGTTTGACCACCTATATAAAAGCTAAAGTTTTAGCAGTTTGCTAATCCGGAACATTCAGGTGTTTGTTAACATAATGCCGAGGAGGAAAGACATCAGCAATGGTCTTAGAGAAGCAATTGCTGCTCAAAAGTTGTTTAATTTTTTTTTTTCTTAGAGCATTGTATTCAATGGAAGTGCTTGTGTAGTAGTTATGTCTAGCACTATTCTTTTACATGCACCTTACATATCGTGTCAAGTGTGTTTGCACACACATATTTCAGAAAACGCGTGCACACACACAAAAGCAGGTTGCACCAAATAAAAAAGATAGATAAGTATTAAATATGTGACACAGCATTTACATGATTTGATTGACTGCAGGGGGAATGCCTACATATATATGCACACTTGGAATGTGGCTTTTCCTCCAAGCATTTTCACACCAAGTGGTGGTAGACTCCCATTCTGCCATAAAGAGGTTGGCATAGCTTGGTGCAAACCTGGTCCCCATCACATTTCTTGTTTTGCAAATAGTCCAGAAACAAAACAAAAAAAGTTACATATAATATTAATTCACTCAATGATAACATTTTGTTTGTCAGTATTTCTTTAATAGCTTGGCAACCTTTATGGTGGGGAATAAGAATGTATAGGGACTGTACATCAAAAGTTACCAAGACATAGTTTGGGTCCCATATCATCCCTATAAATATTGAAAAAGACAGAGTTTCTTAGATAGTTGTAGTAAGATGTCTAAATATTTAAAAAAAAATTGAAAGGAGGGAACTTATACCAGATGCAGTGGGCCACCGAGGGGAGGCTTTTTTGTTTTTATGTATCCTAGGATTAATAACATTGAAATCTGAGAATTTGTGTTTGTTGAGGATATTAAGTTGCTTTCCTTAATTTCTGTAACTTTAGGCGTGGGGTCATAATTTAGTTATTCATATGGCATATAGAAAGAGAGAGAGCTTAGGGTGTCTGCCATATAAGGGGCCCCTATCTGCAGAAGACAGTAGTAAACAGTAACAGTGAATTGCTATA